CCAATCGAGAATCTGTGGAAAGAACTGAAAACTGCTGTTCACAAATGCTCTCCATCCAACCTCACTGAGCTCGAGCTGTTTTGCAAGGAGGCATGGGCAAAAATTTCAGTCTCTCGATGTGCAAAACTGATAGAGACATACCCCAAGCGATTTACAGCTGTAATCGCAGCAAAAGGTGGCGCTACAACGTATTAACTTAAGGGGGTTGAATAATTTTGCACGCCCAATTTTTCAGTTTTTTATTTGTTAAAAAAGTTTGAAATATCCAATAAATTTCGTTCCACTTCATGATTGTGTCCCACTTGTTGTTGATTCTTCACAAAAAATTACAGTTTTATATCTTTATGTTTGAAGCCTGAAATGTGGCAAAAGGTCGCAAAGTTCAAGGGGGCCGAATACTTTCGCAAGGCACTGTATTTATCAGAGAACAAAAACGTTGACAGGGACAGCAGACAAAATGCCTAGTCTGACAGGTTTAGGCAATCATCCTGGTGTAGTTCTCTGTATTCTGGGCCTCATTAGTTTAGTTATAGTGGTACTCATATTGTGGTGGGAAACAAGGTCTCACATATCCCATGAGAAAAGAGCTAATGTCCTGATTCCACTCGAGTTGGTTTTTATTTTGGGTAAAACTTCCACTTTAATGATAGATGATGTGCCATTCTTGACTGCTCTGTGTGGCCACAGCAAGAGCAATTAAGACAATTTGATAAATATATTTGTATACTGTCCTATGTTTAGTTTAATGTTCAGTGTCTTACTAATCTTACTAATCTCACTAACCTCACTAATCATACCAGAAATTTTGTTGTTAGGTTTCAGGGGCAACTGGCAGCCACTTCTCTTATGTTGTATCAGAACACATTGGCATTACACTTCATTCTGACTGAAAAAGGGGGTGTTTGTACTATGTGTAGCAAATCCCCGTTATTGTTATTTGGTTTACCAGAAATTTAGTTGTTAGGTTTCAGGAGCAACTGGCAGCCACTTCTCTTATGTTGTATCAGAACAGATTGGCATTAGACTTCATTCTGATTGAAAAAGGGGGTGTTTGTACTATGTGTAGCAAATCCCCGTTATTGCTATTTGGTTTATTATAAGTAGGCACCATCGTCTGGTGCATTTATGTCAGGCATCCATACAGTCCAGCATCATCAATAGTTAACACTATGATTGGGCAACAGTGTTGTATTTACATCTTAAATAATACTGCTCCTGATGGCTCTATTGCTAGGGTTGAAATTTTATCAGAGGAGATGGCTGACCATTCAAAAATTTAAAATTACATTGATGATTGGGTTGTTAAAATTTTTGGCAAGTGGAAAAATTTAGTGATTTCCTAGCTACATCTTTTGTGTCAGCAGTTACTTTACTGACTTTGTGTGGATGCGGCTGCATCCCCTGCATTAGGCATCTTTGTCTAAAGTGTATCACCACTGCCACTGATAATAGATATCCCAATATGCCTGGGAAACCATGTCCAATGATCTCACTCACTGAGCCCGGTGAGTCTGAGATTGAAGAGGATCCCTTCGATGGGGAAGAAGGCCGTGACTTTTCTACATACTCTTGCTAAGGGTTAACACATATCCACTGTTAGGTATTTTTAGTCAGATAGACGTTGGTTAGACACTTCATGTATTAGAAATGTTTAGTGTAGACAGGATGTCTAGCTCAGGCTGTTAAAGGCTTAGTCATTCCCATAAGGGTACTCCAGGTTGTTCATGTTCAAGGATAACTGGATAGAAAATTGATTACTGTTAGGAGACAGAATGTTTAGTAGTATTATTATTATGACGTGTTTAATCATAATATTTTCTTACGCTTAGTGTCATGACATGTCACTAGATGTGACATTCTCCTTGGATGCCTAATCTACCGATTGGATGCCTAATCGACTGATGCCTATTGTCCTGGTGGGCATGTTTGGGCAGCGATCTCAAAACAGGATTGTAGATGGAAGACAAGTTGTGTCTTAGTCCACCACCCCTATTTAGTGTGGGGTGTTCTATTTTTACAAAAATAGCTTTCTTAACTCCGTCGGTCAACAGGGGAGGATTCAAAGACAGGTAACGACTCTCACCGATACTGGACTGCAACAACTCAGTCGTTAAGGGACATTGTTGGCCTTCAAAGGACTGAAACACCACAGAGGGGGATAAATATCTCCGGCTCAACACCAGTCAGTCAGAACTGATGAAGCCTCTTGGATGAGAGGTGAAACGTCTTCGATCTAGAAATCTAAGTCCAGTTGATTTTTTTCTAAGGTTTTTTCAGTTTACTATGACCTGGATGACTGAAAATCTGCACAGACATTCTATTGCATGCTTCTGTTCATGCTCATCTTTATTGTACTATACTGTGTTCTCCTCTGCTGTTGTTTTCTGCTACATTTCACAGAGTTTCACACCTTTGTTATCAAACCTTTGAACCATGTGTCTGTGTTTTACCTGTGGGTGTATAATGGTGAAATATTGATCCATTGTAGCATCTCTGGCCTGGAGACCTGGGACAAACTTCTCTATGTTCACCCCTGTTTGCCTTACCTTCAGCTGATTAGAAACAAACCAGAAACAAAGAAGAATGGGCAGCAGAGACAGAAGGTACCAAGAATTTGCAGCATGAGTTTCAGCGAATCCAAAGATATGCATTGCACACTCTCATTAAGCAACTAAAGTGCACAGACACATGAAGAATCCTTACATCTTTATCAAAGACAATGTGGAAGGGAAAAGCACTGCAGAAAGCTTTCTTTTCCATCCACAGCTTGTCCAGGTAACATGGACTCAAGGTGCTTTGGTGGCTGCCTGGGAGGTAAATCAAACACACCCATTTTATTACTCTTGGATCCTAAAACACAGCAGTGTCAAAAGCAGTTCAATATTTTGGAAAATCCACTAATTTGCTGTCTTTTTAAGGGTTAATGAGAAGATGGATGGTTTTGTCTGTTACAGGAACTACAGACCTGGAGTAGGATGTGATTAGCCTGTCTTAGCATAAAGCCCTGAACCAACAAGCCTAGCTTTCATCCAAAGCTGCAAAATACATCTCTCAACATTAGTTTTAGTTGAACTTTCATAGTGGAACTATTCTGTGAAACTGGTCATGTGTACACAAACATGGGCAGAGCCAATCAAAATGTGATATGTCTCATTTTTAAACAAAATAAGCAATTTGGGTTTTAATCATGTATGGTTTACTATTTCGTCTCAGGGCTTGGTTTACTTTTTACATGTATTTCAAATGTGCCACCCTCTCTGAATCTGTGGCCCAGCCTGGTCACCCCACCCAAAATTTTCCGGATATGTTCTTGCCACAAAGCCCTTATGTGCAGCATATCTATAGCCTATGTTGCTAGATAAGGTATTACTCATATAAAGTTAACCTTCTTCTGAGAGAACCACAGCTCTAATCAGGTCCCAGCCACTCTTGTTCCCAACCAGTGATGCACACCTGTTCCTCAGTCTTTGGAATAATGCCTCCTGGAAAAACAAATCACAGAAAGCAAAGTGGGCCAAGAATCAATTGACACATAATATTTACAGTACATATAGAAACAGACCATGCACATACACCCACCTCTCTATAACTGGAATTGTCCTTATCTCTAATCTTTCCAGTTTCATTGGTCTGTTTGACCAGAAACACTACATGCTCCTTCTTCCCTGTCCGCTCATCTTCCTCTGATCGGTTTACAACCACCATAGTCACATGGCTGTCAAAAAAATCTTTGGCAACTGCCTCCATGATACCTGCAGTAGGATAAAAAAATACTGTAGGATTAGAGTGTCAAATACCACCATGTCACATACCTTTTGCATCTCATACATCAGTATGGGTGCCTTTGGTGTCCATATAAGACACTTACTCCCCCTCCCAAAATGGAAATGTTAATACACAGGCACTGCTAGACTGAATGAATGAAGAGAAGTAAATATACAACACAGACTTATAAGGATAAGGATAATCACCTTTATTGGCCAATTATGCTACACACAAGGAATTTGTTTCCAGTACAGAACCGAGGCACCCATCTGTGGCGCCAACTTAACTGATGGCTCTAACCATCAGGGTTCAGTGTCTTGCCCAAGGACATTTCGACTACAGGCATTGAGATTTGAACCTTCAACCTTCCGGTTGGAGACGTCTGCTCTACCCACTGCACTGTTGCCTCCCCTGTTATATGGCATTACCGTCTGTTTCTGCAGGGCTACAGTATTACACTATACAGTAAATGTCCATATTTCAAATGAAGTGCTTTGTCAAATTTCCAAACACTTTCAGAAAGTATAAAAATGATCAGATTAAAAAAAAAAATCTGTCAGTAAAAGTATTATAAAAATGTATCTGTGAAATGAAAATGCACAATTTTTGATTTAAGGTGCATTCATAAACACTCATGTCAAGTCAAGTGAAAATGGGACAAGAGGTGTCTCTTAGCTACACCACCGCCCTCCATGACACTGTGCTGCCTACAGCTCTCTTGTTATTTCAGCTTCTCTGTCCTGTGTTGTCAAATTACGGTCCATCAATTAGCCCTGTCTGCCACCTAACCAAATTTGTAAGAACACTGAAAAAAAGGATTTGTTGGATTTACTTGATTGTAATGTGTACATCGGTCCCACACAATGATAATGTGTAAAACCAACATAATTTTCTTTAGGAGTTAACTTGTTTGAATTATGTTAACAGAGGAAATATGAATGAATTGCGTTGCATATACTATCATAATTTGTGTAAATCCAAAGACCCGGTGAGTCCTTTTTTTCAGTGAAGTTTGTATTGATGATTTTAATTTGGGAGTAATTTGAGCTTTGTGTAACATTAGAGCTTTGTGTCACATTAGCCCCATCATTATGTGTGGGAGCCCCAACACATTAGAACCATTATGTTCTACTGGGTTGCCAAATTTACTCATTAGTCAGCTAACACTAACTTTGGACTAGACCTTCACTCCCTGCTCCACCACCAGCTCTTAAGTACTTTTTATATTTAATCCTAATAAAGTCTGTTCCACCCAGAGTATCTGTCCTTCCTCTGAGTCCCTCTCTCATTCTCAGTTTTTGGGATCGATTGGTCCTAACACAAAGGCTCTGGTACAGTGACTTTGGGTCTGCCTGGAAGACCTGTTAATCCACCCATCATACTAAGAAGCCACACATGATCAAGAGTTGTGCATTGGAATGGGAATGTAATTCAGTGTTGTTGTTTTTACCAGGTACAATATGGTACAGGCCCTTCCTATCAGAATAGTAGTGAAGCAACATCTTCCCATCATCTGTCATCTCCACTCGGAAGGATGGCGCATTCATTTCCTTAAAAACAGAAGTTACAGTTCAGCTCCTACTACAAGGTAGAGCTCATTAAATGCCTGTTTTTAATTATCACACATAGCAATGGTGTCCCCACACTGTACATATTTATCAGGACTAAAAGCAAACTGCATGCATAGATGGATGTAGATACATCTTTTGTGTTTTTTTAAGTCACATTTTGAACTTTTTTCCAACATTTCCTTATCTTTGTAAATATTAGAATGGGATTATGATACAAAATATTATGGGAAACTATCAAAGGAAACCTGTGCTACAAGTTTTATTTTCAGCTGTGATCAGAACAAAAAACATATCTGTTTTCTGACCAAGCTTCAAGAGGATCAGTCACTTAATGAACAGTTTCTCCCTTTGGATCCTGGGCATGCACATAGTAGGCTGTTAGTAATAAATAACTGCAGATGATTCTGATTGGATTATGAGTATAGTAAATAAGAATATAATATGATACAGTAAGGATATAAATATGAAGTATTTGCCAAAGTCAGGTTTTCTCTTAGGCGTGAGCAGTCATTGGCTATCAGGAGTAGAGATAGGGTCCAATAGCCAGCTCTATTTTGGATCTTGTTCCAAGTTGGTGAAATATCCGGGTTCATTTAGCTTCATGGTCAAACAAATCCCCTATCAAACCTCTGTCAAGGTTATACTGTTTGGCTACAGACATTTCCAAAAGGAAAAAAAAGTATAGCTTACAAACTGGAGGTGACCTAGTGAAACTGTTTTATATGTTATGCTAGGCTATGTATTCTATGTGTTACACATCAGTAAAGTTTGGGTGGAAAAAAGTAAACAAGCATGACAGACCCAGCTTAACATCAAAAAGTCAAGTCAAAAAAAATAACTGCAAAAAATTTATATTTGTAGGTCGGTACTCACGAAACAACTTGTCCTTTGTTTAGTCATCTAATGTCAATCACATTAAAGTAAGAACTTGAGTTATATTTGAAAATGTGAGAAGGATGAGTGCTCAGACTCAGAGCTGTGTGACCTGTCAGAGCTGTAGCAGTGCCACAACCTGTCCACCTAAATGCATAATTCAACAACCTATCTGCTGGGAAAATGCTGTGTTATGGCTTGTTTGAATGCTCAAGAAGATGTTATACATTTGTACGTGCAGGTGTTTTGGTTTAGAGCAGATGATGTATTCATGCTTGAGCTGATCCACACCCCATCCCACACCCATCCATAACCCTAACACTATCAGTGATTTATTAAATTGATATTCACTAAACAATATCCATCCATCCGCTCCATCCATCTTAATCTGCTTCATCCAAGACCAGGTGGCGGTAGCCCGAGCCGAGCCTCCCAAACTTCCCTTTCCCCACACACCTTCTCTAGCTCCTCGGGAGGAACCTCAAGGCGTTCCCAGGCCAGCCGAGATACATAATCTCTCCTACGTGTCCTGGGTCTGCTCCAAGGCCTTCTCCTGGAGGGACATTCCCAGAATGCCTCCCCAGGGAGGTGTCCAGGGGGCATCCTAAACAGGTGCCCGAGCCACCTCAACTGGTTTCACTCAATGTGGAGGAGCAGCGGTTCTACTCTGAGCTCCTCACAGGTGACTGAGCTCTGCACCCTATCCCTAAGGGTGCGGCCAGCCACTCTCCGGAGGAAACTCATTTCTGCCGCTTGTATCCCCGATCTCATTCTTTCGGTCATGATCCAAATTTCATGGTCATAGGTGAGGGTAGGAACGTGGATCGACCAGTAAACTGAGAGCTTCATCTTATGACTCAGCTCCTTCTTCACCTGCTGCCCCATTTTTCCCTCACTTGTGAACAAGACCCCAAGATACTTAAACTCCTCCACTTGAGGAAACAACTCGCCCCCAACCTGGAGAGAGCAATCTGCCTTTTTTTGATTGAGAATCATGGCCTTGAATTTGGAGGTGCTAATTCTCATCCCTGCCGCTTCACACCCCTCCAGTGCAAGCTGTTAGGTATTGAACTGATGAAGCCAACATCATCCATAAAGAGCAGAGATTCTGCGGCCACCAAAATAGACACCCTCTGTTCCATGGCTTCACCTAGAAATTCTGTCCATAAAAATAATGAACAGAATCGGTGACAAAAGGCAGCCTTGGCGGAGTCCAACATGCACTGGAAACAGGTCTGACTTACTGCCGGCAATGCGAACCAAGCTCCCACTCTGGTCATAGTGGGAACAGACAGTCTGTAACAAACAAGCCCCACACCCCATAATTCCAAAGTACCTCCCACAGGATGCCACGAGGGACACAGTCGAATGCCTTCTCCAGATCCACAAAACACATGTAAACTGGTTGGGTAGACTCCCATGAACCCTCCAATACCCTAGTGAGGATATAGAGCTGGTCCAGTGTTCCGTGGTCAGGGCGAAAACCGCATTGTTCCTCCTGAAACCAAGGTTCAACTATTGGCCGGATTCTCCTCTCCAGTACCCTGGCATAGACTTTCCCGGGGAGGCAAAGAA